TAATGTTAGCTTGGAGAATTCAGTAAATTGGATCATCTACTATTCCCCTAATTCATATTTTTCTTGATTCTCATTTCTTGTCTATTTAACATAATTGTATTGATATGACAAGAAGAAATTCTAAATTGGTCACTTGTGGGAGTTTAAAGTGCCCATGATGTGAATTTTTTTCCTCGGTTTTTCTTAGCTTGATACGTATAAAAAACGATTCTAACCTTCAATCTGGCGGAAACATTTTCAAACCTGAATTTTTGCACTCTAGAAAGTACTATTTTGTAGTGAAAATTGTCTTGGGGTCTGGGACCTAGTTCAACCCTTGTGATGGCCTTCATGACGTAAATTTGTGTACACAAAACACCAAGTTGCGGAACGCGTGAAGGTGAGAGGCGAGTCATTCATTCATTTGAGCGAGTGTCACTCTGCTGATTCTACAGATTATAGAATCACTCTTTTTGCCGCACTGTCATCCATGTTGGTTTTGATGGCTGTACACAACTTGACGTCACAAAAGAAAATGAGATGTTTTGGCCATGTGGAAGAGGGGACAATTTCGTTTGCAGATAGCGCATGTTTTGAACTAAAAAAAAGGGGTTTGAAGACATTTCTGCCCAGATTGACAGTTGAAATTGTTTTTTATATGCATCAAGCTAAGAAAAACTGAGAAAAAAAGATCCTGTCATAGGCACTTTAAGGGTTAAAGAAAGGGATCATTGCAGTGAGCAACTGCACACCCACCCCTCCCCTCACCAGACTTAAGTCAACTGATAATGAGTTAGGGATAACGTTGGGTTAGGGGAGGGGTAAGTACGCAGTTGCTCAGATATCTACATTGCTGCATTATTATTACTGTTATCTTTACTATTAATTATAATTAATACTGTCATCTCTTACCTGGAAAATAACTGTTCCTCCCAACATTTTCCCTCTAAAGGTCGTCACATTGTTTTTGTGATCGACTTCAGGTTCTTCCCAGTGTGTTACCTTATCCTGGAAGCCATGTTTTACAATTTTGCCAATATCTTTCTCAGTGTAATACAGTTCATCTTTTTTATCCTGAAATTCATAAATAGCTGGAATAACAAGTGCAGTGATGTAAAGACTTGGTCGAGTAAACATCATTCCCTTTGTGGAGCTGTTAATCAAGACCTGATTCCAATCAATTGATACATTAACATCTGTAGAGTCAAAGTAAGCTGCAATAATCGTTGGAGAGCCAATGACAGACCAGAGATAGTGCATGGAATTCTTTTTATCGGTGCTCTCGGCGATAACATGAATAATGTAAGTTGTGTTATTGCACCCTGCTATATTTGTTGGACATGGTATGCTTTTGATGGTAATCTGCAAAAAAGAAAAACATATGGAATACTAAAGCTACAGAATGAGAATACGAAAGGAATAAACTTTTGATTGCAAAAACATTACCCTAAATTCCTAAATTTTAGAATTGCACATTTCTTCATGCTGTTAGTATGCATCAACTTATCTAGGTAATTTTAATCATAAATTAGCCTTTACCTCCCAGAAGTGATTAACCTGTAAAGTCTCCCTGTAATAGTCAAACATTATCTAGCAAACAGGTGATAGGAAAACTCAAACTTATTGGGTAGATCTAACACCAAATTCTCCTTACTAATTTACTAGGAAATATGTGGCAGCTAGAGGGGAAAATTAACAACCAGATCTTGAGAGTTAAAGGGTTAAGAGTGAGCCTTTGATTTGTTCTCCATCGATTTTGCATAATTTTAAGGTTGCTTTAAAAAATGAGAGTAACTGCAGAATACCCTGCCACTCATTTACAGTCTAACATATACATGTAAGGCCGCAACTTTTCATTAACTTGGTGCAAATTTATACAAAGCAGCATTTTAAATGAATGTTTAAATGAAAGGGTTTAAGGTTTCCTCTTTCAAACAACTGGTTTATTCAATATATTTTTCTTCTCAGATTTATATGCGACACTCGTGGACTACTCCGTTTAGGAGTTACAATTTGCAAGAGATATTGTCAAACTGTGCCCCAGGTCGAGTCAAAACTCTGGGTTCAGATGCTTCACTCGTATCTAAACGTTTGTGCAAACTGCTTTTCTGTTTAACTGAGGAAGGACTTCGGGTATAATACCCGAGAAAATATGAACAGAAAGCAAATGCAAACCTTCGTCCATTCAGTACCAATGTTTCAAAATACAATCCAGGACGAAGAAAAGTTGCAATTTATGCCTATCTTACCTTTCTTTGTTGATCCTGAGGTACAGTCGCTAATGATAAACAAAAAAAGGCTACAAAAAATATAAGAAACCTTCTAAGAAATTCAACACGGTCCGCCATGTTGGGAACTATTTCCTTCCGAAACAGGAAGTCATGTGATTGTCATGATTTTTGTCCTGTCCTAAGTAGGGTAGCGAGAAGACGGACGGGTAGGGAGGGGTGGCTGATAATTATCTATATATTATTAAAAACTGGATCATTGGATAATGCAATTCACGACTTTTTATTGGCTTAGCCATTATGGTATATCAGCCAACGTACCATAATCTTATATCTGTACATCGTAACATCCGGTTTCTTCTTACAAAGTAAAAGTCGAGTAGATTTGTCTAATATCTTAGAGGCGTTTTTTTTGATAAAACAATTATTCCACTCCCGCTTGTTGGATATATATATCTTATTAATCAAGCGCGAGGGCCGTACTGGGAGAATATCGGCCCGAGGTCTTGACAGTACGGACCGAGCGCAGCGAGGTCCGCACTAAAAAGACCGAGGGCAGATATTCTTCCAGTACGGTCCCGAGCAAGCTTGGTTAATAAGAGATTTATTAAACGACTGAAGGTTAAGTTCACATGACAGATCAGGTGAGAGAAGATCAGACCAAGGCACTTGAAGAAAAAATCTGCCCACACTGGCTCTTTTACTGGGTCTTTTGTCTCTGGAGAGGATGATCTTGCATTTAGATTTTGAGGGCGTCTCCCTGATTCCCGGCCCCATATACACAGACAGGTGGTCAGATAGACCAAACGGAGGAAGGCTACATGGAGCAGAGAAAAATTCAGGGAAGTTGGTGAAAATTTGATCCAGAGTATTATTACCTCTAGTAGGAAATGAGACAGTAGGCTTGAGGTGAAAGGCCTTAACAGCAGATTGGACCATAGGAAGGAGCGACCGGTTAAAGTCGCCAGCCAAAATAATTGCACAGTTAGAACATTTAGCCTCAAGAGACATTAAGGATGTCACCAAATAATCCCTCATAGCGGAGTCGTTGGCGTCTAGGGGTTGATACACCACGCCCACGATAATGTTGGAGAATCCACGCGGTAACCGGATGGGCCTAAGGTCGGCCTAGAGAGCTTCATCGATGGCACTTAAGATCATATCTGTTGTGTGGATCAGTGAAGTCTCAGTTGAATGCCAATCTTTGTTACCGCTTTGTTTTGTTGACAATCGATCGTTTGATACCAAATAGGTCATGAATTGATTCAACGCAGTTCTCTCACATATCTTTGATAAGATGGGCAACAAAGATATAGGTCGATTATTTTCAGGTTTTTCATGATCACCTTGTTTATGAACAGGGATCACTTCTGCAGTCTTCCAAACAGATGGAAACACCCCACCCACTTGTAAGCAAGTTGCTTATGATGGACGTAAGAGTAGGGAGGATAGCTGGAGTCCAGTCCTTAATTACACGTAGGGGGATTTTATCGATTCCAGGAGCTTTTCCCGTCGGCAATGAATTAACGATTTGTTCGATTTCGACACATTCTACGGTCCTGAATGTAAATTGGTTGTGATAGGGGATGAAGAAGTGCTGAAGAAGCGCAGTCCTACAATAACTAACCCGGCACTATTCCAATGAAATAAATACGTTATAGGCTCCCTAAAACTTTCAGAAAAACTTCTTCATTACTGAAACCGACAATATGAAACTATTTATTGAACATGGTGAGCAGTATTCTTGAAAATTTTGCAATGAACAGCCCTGTACTTCTTAACATTTGAAAAAAGATTTAAATTGCCACACTTATTATGGATACTAGCTATATTGCCTTCAGCTATCTTTTATTTCCTCAACTGCCCATTGTTTAAATAAAGCCTTTTAAAATTTAAAAGAAACGGAATGAAGAATTACATTATTGTCATTTGAAAATCAGTTCATGTATCTCGTCCAGAAATTATGATAAATCAAACTTGCCCTGGTGACAGTTCTGAATTAACTTTAACGGTAACGATAACGGTAACGATCCCCACAAAAGTGACCGAGGCTCTTGCATTTTTCACACAAGTGCTGAGGGTGCTGCTTAGAGCTATCCCCCTTGTCCAGCCCATCAGGTTTTTGCAGCGGACGCTGCGTGTGCGGGTACACCAAAATATTACAATTCTGACACTGCTGACCAGAGTTGGCCCAACTGTTGGCGCTCATCCACCCGCGGTTACACTCAGGACATCTATATTCTCCAAAACAACGGCTATTCCCTTGGTATGGTGTCTGTCGTAAATATGAGCAACAGCATGTATAGTTTAAACCTTAACACGTTATTGTTATCAAGTGCTGTTTTAGTCTGATGCAAAGGCATCAGTAATCACTAAATTTAGTTTGAATTCAGGTCAATTTTTCAGCGAAAACTCAGCTTCCTCATAAGGGGGTACCATATATAGAATATATTAAACACCTGTAAATTTGTCAAATTATAAACAGGCAATGTCAGAATTTGAATGCGTCAAGAAAACACTCATCTCAATTTAAGAAGAAGGGTAACCGACAGCTGATCGTAACACCTAATTTGCCCATAGAAGGAAGCTTTTCTAGCCTGATGAAGAAATTTTCTGAGCTACGATCGTTCAATTATTGTCCCTCTATTACTGAACTGACGGTGAAAAGTCATCCCAGCTCTGCTTCTAAGCTCTTGCTGACTGTCAAGCTTTACTTTTGTCGGGCCGGAGGTTTTCGCATCTCAATGATGACCTCCAATAGCGCATTAAAATGTTTTATTTCTTCATTAATTGAAGTTTCCTTCACGAGTTCATTAATCCCAAATGGGTTTTGTCATGTCCAGTAGTCCTTCAAAATGATCCTCCTTTCGGTTGTCAATGAAAAAGCTTTTTTTCTCACGTAGGGCTTGCCAGTTCATGTGTTCATTCCGCATCTCCCTAATTTATTTCGCTTCGGCGAAGGAGTTTTAATAGTTAGATGATCAAGTTAGATCCAAAGGGTCTTCAATTTAAATTTTTGTGAACATTTAGCAAATTTGACATTCTAACAACGTCACAAAGCGAAAGCACATCTGAAATACGGAACTGACATTTCACCTAATCAGCTGACATCGAAATGTTTGGTTCCTCCGTCACTAGACTTTACTTGGCAAAACCCAAAGCCAAGGCAAGTTCGGTTACAGCCATAGCGTTATCACTGACTAAGCACAAATGTAATTTAAGACCATCAGAATTTGAAAGGCAAATTAGACATAACAATCCGAAATAGACTCTTCTTCTGAATTCTCTTATAGGCAGTGTCTGTTGATTGGCTTGTCTGAGAGCCTTGATTTTCGTTTTAACACTTACCTTTCCACTCGACATACTTCAATGTTGAAATACCAAAAGTTCAAAATTTAAAGTGATTTTAAAAAAGCACAAAACCTCACACAGAATCGGAGAAATTATCCTTCTCAATGCAGAACTGTGTAAATATACAAGCCCCCTCAAGGTTGCAATTATCCAATGGGAAGCCATCTCCCGACCGGAAATGTTTACAGGTACACGAATTGTCCAATCAGAAATAAGGAGACCTATATTTCTCAGAAAGGTCTTGAATTCTAAGAAACTTTCACTGTAAGCCATTTAGTTCCAGGTCATTCGGCAAAGCCTCATATTTCAGACCGCTTGCATCTTCCAGCATATTGCAGAATGTCGATTGTACGAAAAACAAGCAAGTATTTCGATGTAGAAAGGAGCTGACAATTTTTCTTCTTACAAAATGGAAGGGAGCGACTGTTTCTTTCGGAATTCTTTCTTTCTTTCTTTTTCGTGGATTTGAGTGGTTATCGTTTCATGAGCAGATCAAAGTGCTAGTGAGATAAAAGAAAATTGTTTGTGGATACTGGCTAGTAACGACGGGAAAAGGATACGTATTCCTCTGCACAACAGGACTTTTTAAATGGAAAACACCAGAATACTGACAGCTTGTCGGCCAAATATATATGGTATTGGTCTTTTGTTAGACAACAATCAAAAGTCTTTTCGGTATATCAGAGAAATTGCGTTATAATATGTTA